TCCCGACTCTTAATACATTGTGTTTCCTTCTGGAGCATCAGTGACTGTTTGAACCTTTTGTAAGTGTGAAAAGATGGATCTCAATTTCACACAATCATTGTCGGAAAGGGCTCAAATACGCAAAAGATGCAGGAAAACCAAATAATTTCAAAAAGTTTTATGAAGAACAGCAGGCAGTTTAACTGTTCAGGACAAACAAGGGACTCATGAACAACTATCACAATACAAAACAAACAAACAAAAAACAGCTGTGGATCATCCAGGTAACAACACAGTATTAAGAATCAAGCGTTTGTAAACTTTTGAACGGGGTCAATTTTATAAATTCAACTATTATTTTCTCATCTGGACTATATGTAAACGCCTTTTATGTGAAATATCTTATTCAGGTCAGTACTAAATAAAAAATAACATGCATATTTTGGTAAAGTAATTAACCTTTTGCAGATACTGCAAATTGTATGTAAACTTTTGACCACAACTGTATATTTTTAAATTACTACTTTTGATTATTCTGTTCTTTATATAGTATACATTTTTTAATGTACAGTAGTATGTTTAAAGCACAAAACAAATAAAAAAATAACAATAACAGCCAAATTAAGGCTTTAGAATAATCATTGTTCAAGACATTTTAGAATACATTCTTTCAACATTTTTTTCACATATATTCTTTTTTTTAATAATGTACATTTATAACACTATACTTTGTTGTGTGAGTATTTCTAATACAGTAGCTGAGAGAGTGACAGCAAATTTAACATCTTTCTCTCTTCTGAACATAATCAATCTCAGTATTTTTCACTCTTTTGGAAAGTTGTAGAAATGCTATCGTGTTTTTTTTTTTTTCCTTTTTGTGAAAGTGACGTGACATGTGGCCAAGTATGGTGACCCATACTTGGAATTAGTGCTCTGCATTTAACCCATCCAAAGTGCACACACACAGCAGTGAACACACACCCGGAGCAGTGGGCAGCCATTTTTGCTGCGGGGCGCCCGGGGAGCAGTTGGGGGTTCGGTGCTTTGCTCGAGGGCACCTCAGTCATGGTATTGAAGGCGGGAGAGAGCGCTGTACATTCACTCCCCCACCTACAATCCCTGCCGGTACGATACTCGAACCCGCAACCTTTGGGTTACGAGTCCGACTCTCTAACCATTAGGCCACAACTTCCCCTTTTTGCAACTTTTTGCAATTGGAGCAAATGGTAACACAAAAAAAAGAGATATTTGTTGTAGTTTCCATTCACCACGTTTACTCATCTATGATGACTTACACTTCTGAGAACCCTTAAAATGTGAAAAGGGTCCATTATGTAACCAACAGCGTTGACGCCAATTGAATTCCCATTGGTCGTCTTGCATGTATTTGCATAGTGAATTTTGATTGCTGTTTTTATAGCATCTTTTTTTCACTATATAGCCGCCTTACACTGCAAAGGTAGTGTCTCATATGTAGATTCTCATACACAGTGGACAAAAACGCGAGTGTCATAACAATGACAAAACCTAAAAGCTTACACACTACTCTCTCCCTGCCTTGCCAGCACTGTTATTTCCTTTAAGAAATGTAAATCTAGTTGAAAATCTTCAACTGAAATTTATTTAGCATATGAAATCCAATAAACAGAATGCAGGTATGCAGAAATACAAACTGTTTTGAGACCATAAAACATGGTGCATTCATTTACGAATTAATCTGCTGGCAAAATGAATATGTCAGATAGAGAAGGCTGTGTCTGTCCAAAGAGTCCCCAGGCTGTAATGAGATCAAAGTTCAAGGTTTAACAGTGGCAATGAGTCTCTGAGACATGACTGCCATATTTCATTGTGGAGACAGGGAACTATCATGTAAAGCTGTTAGGACAGACTACAGCATCACACAAGAACAAACCGGAGTCTGTGAACAAGAGCTCTGACACATACTTTTCATTGGTAAGAGCTGAGTATCACTAGACCCGCTATTGACAGGATTTCCAACTATTTGATGTCCAGCACTGCCACAAGTGACTGTCTGTGCCTTTTTCCCTAAAAATGGGTTGAAAAATAGGTTGTGCTGCCGTTGGTGGTGTGTGCAGGCATAAACCCAGCTTGTCAAATCAAGTTGGTTTATTGTCATTTCTCTGTATGACAGAGGTGGAACAAAATACAGTGTCTGTTAAGCCACACTGCAGAACATATCATAGGTCTATACAATATCAACTTTTAACACAGTGATGGTAAATATATTTAAAGGGATAATTCACCCAAAAATGAACATTCTGTCATCATTTATTCACTCTCAAGCTGGAATGGAAGTTAATGGGGGCCATCAACTACAACGGCGTTTTAGTGCCACGTTAAATTAAAGAGATTAAAGTTGTAATATTTTGAGGAAAAAGTCAAAATTACGAGAATAAAGTTGTAGCAATATGAGAATAAAGTCAAAATATTTTGAGAATAAAGCCAAAATTACGAGAATAGAGTCAAAATATTTTGAGAATACAGTCAAAATATTTTGAGAGTAAAGTCCAAATATTTTGAGAGTAAAGTCAAAATTACGAGAATTAAGTCGTAGCAATTACAAGATTTAATTTATAATATTAAAGAGTGTGAAAAACACATTATTGTAACACATATTGTTTGTATTTCGCTATAGAACTGACAGAAATTGAAAGCTGAGACTTTGTTTTATATTAAAAGCACCAAAAGTGCAAAGCTTATTGCTATTATTGGGTGGCTGGCGCAATACAAATAATTAATGCATTTTAAGACATTAAATATTATTTCCGAACATACTGTCCCTGCGAGTATATGACACATGGTATGATTTCTGCTAATAATCCCACATATATTCAAATCAATTGCCAGGCCACTGGAATTTCTCCCGGTGCTCCCAATCTGGATCATTTGCATGCGCAATATACAGTATACTCTCAAAATATCGTAATCTTGTAATTGCTACGACTTAATTCTAGTAATTTTGCCTTTATTCTCAAAATATTTCAACTTTGTTCTTGCAATTTGGATTTTTTTTCTCGTATTGCTACGACTTTATTATCGTAATTTGGACTTTTTCTCAAAATATTACGATTAAAAAATTTTTTTTTTTAGCATGACACTAAAACACCATCGTAATCAACTGTTTGGGTACACACATTTTTTAAAATATCATTTGTATCCAGCAGAAGAAAGAAATTTACACAGGTTTGAAACAACCTGAAGGTAAGTAAATGATGACTGTTTTCATTTTGGATGAACTATGCCTTTAATACAATACTATGGCAAATTAGAATAAAGATATTCTACTTAAAGATTCTATATACTACTAAATGAATTACGGAAATGCAGTATTGCAGTGAGGTAAGCATTTTGCTGTGAAAGTAGAAATCTAACCCCAACCCAACAAGTAAATGTCTGTGTGTGTTCAATCATTTGACAAACCTAAATAATACACAGTTCTGTTCATAAGTTCACATAAATTTGGTTGTCAATAGAATTTTTGTCTTTGGGTGGTGTGGCCTAGTGGTTGTAATGTCAAGGCTGGTAATTGTTTCAATTTTCAAACTGGTTCATCTGAAAGGTTGCTGGTGTAGTGTGAGGAGCAAGCCATAATAAGCCATCACCATTGTGCCCTTGAGCAAGGCACTTATTCCCAGGTTGCAGCAGGGGGGTTGTTCAAGTTCATAGCAGTGTTCTAAGGGGACATCTAAAAGTCACCGAATCGAGTTCAACTGGACCTGCGTGGTGATAAATAAAGATTATATTACATCTTCACTGCTTGTGCTCTACACTGCCTTATAAAAGCAAGACATAGTGACAGGTTTTTGAATCATTTGATTTCAGTTTTCACACTGTTTTCTCTGAATTGGAGTATAGTTTTGCTAAATCGTAGCATGAAAAGCCAGATTTCAGTAACTCAATTTTGAGTTATCTTGTTGTAGTTGTGTGACAAAACATATTAGTCCAATATCCAGTTGTAGATGAGTGCTTTTCATTGTCAGTGCAGGATTTTGTAGAAGGGATTAAAATATATGACAAAATGGGGCAGTGAGAAAGTTTTACAGTTTTATGAGTTTACTGTCAGACATGCATACATTATTAAACTCTCTTTGTATCGAAGATCACCTAATAATTTCTCCCTAGTGTAGTTAGTGGCTCTTACAACAATGAAGGTGAATTGGTTAGAAATGACACTACTTAGAAATCAAAAAGCACTTCATAAGAGACTGTGAAAGACAGTAAGCTTCATTCTACCTGATCTCCTGAAATATAATATCTGGCCTAGTTTCATATTCTAAACTTCCAATGACAACAAAGATCATAGGATGGAAAGGTCAGACATATTGTCGGGTTATGTTAGACTTTTATGATGCTTAAAAAGGGAAATGGAGCACCATAATCTCCTGAGAAGAGAGAGAAATCAAGAACTGAAAGGCGAAAGACTAATTTAACGCACAGTAATCATGTTATTATATTATTAAATTCTATCAATGCTATGGCAAGTTTGTTTGCTTTTTGAGAATAGATTGTATATGTATTTTATGTGTAAAGTTATTACATTGTCCATGTTTAGTCAATTTAACTAAATCTTTAATACATTTTTTGTAAATCTTGGATATTGTACATATGCACTGTATATATTCCTGCATGGTTTAGATGGTGGGGATTATTCTTCTGAATAACAACCACAGGATCATCTAAACACAAGTGTCTGATTAAAATGCTTCTATCCCTAATTGATTTAATACCTAGCACGGCCTTAAATGTACCCCTGAGACGAAACACTTGGCTGCTTGGGGGACTTCAGAGGCTTGTTTGGAATAAATCATTAGCTGCTGTTTGCTCCCGTAATGACTATAGGATGAGATCTGCCATTCTGTTTGTAAACTCACTTACAGTATCAACTCCACTAGTGTACCATATATCCTTTTTATATGAACATCTTTAAATCACAGAAATGTAATTAAATTTAGCTGTGCACATGCAGTAAAATCTGTATTTCTGTTGCCACGTTAAATTAAAGAGATGAAAGTTGTAATATTTTGAGGAAAAAGTCAAAATTACGAGAATAAAGTTGTAGCAATATGAGAATAAAGTCAAAATATTTTGAGAATAAAGCCAAAATTACGAGAATAGAGTCAAAATATTTTGAGAATACAGTCAAAATATTTTGAGAGTAAAGTCCAAATATTTTGAGAGTAAAGTCAAAATTACGAGAATTAAGTCGTAGCAATTACAAGATTTAATTTATAATATTAAAGAGTGTGAAAAACACATTATTGTAACACATATTGTTTGTATTTCGCTATAGAACTGACAGAAATTGAAAGCTGAGACTTTGTTTTATATTAAAAGCACCAAAAGTGCAAAGCTTATTGCTATTATTGGGTGGCTGGCGCAATACAAATAATTAATGCATTTTAAGACATTAAATATTATTTCCGAACATACTGTCCCTGCGAGTATATGACACATGGTATGATTTCTGCTAATAATCCCACATATATTCAAATCAATTGCCAGGCCACTGGAATTTCTCCCGGTGCTCCCAATCTGGATCATTTGCATGCGCAATATACAGTATACTCTCAAAATATCGTAATCTTGTAATTGCTACGACTTAATTCTAGTAATTTTGCCTTTATTCTCAAAATATTTCAACTTTGTTCTTGCAATTTGGATTTTTTTTCTCGTATTGCTACGACTTTATTATCGTAATTTGGACTTTTTCTCAAAATATTACGATTAAAAAATTTTTTTTTTTAGCATGACACTAAAACACCATCGTAATCAACTGTTTGGGTACACACATTTTTTAAAATATCATTTGTATCCAGCAGAAGAAAGAAATTTACACAGGTTTGAAACAACCTGAAGGTAAGTAAATGATGACTGTTTTCATTTTGGATGAACTATGCCTTTAATACAATACTATGGCAAATTAGAATAAAGATATTCTACTTAAAGATTCTATATACTACTAAATGAATTACGGAAATGCAGTATTGCAGTGAGGTAAGCATTTTGCTGTGAAAGTAGAAATCTAACCCCAACCCAACAAGTAAATGTCTGTGTGTGTTCAATCATTTGACAAACCTAAATAATACACAGTTCTGTTCATAAGTTCACATAAATTTGGTTGTCAATAGAATTTTTGTCTTTGGGTGGTGTGGCCTAGTGGTTGTAATGTCAAGGCTGGTAATTGTTTCAATTTTCAAACTGGTTCATCTGAAAGGTTGCTGGTGTAGTGTGAGGAGCAAGCCATAATAAGCCATCACCATTGTGCCCTTGAGCAAGGCACTTATTCCCAGGTTGCAGCAGGGGGGTTGTTCAAGTTCATAGCAGTGTTCTAAGGGGACATCTAAAAGTCACCGAATCGAGTTCAACTGGACCTGCGTGGTGATAAATAAAGATTATATTACATCTTCACTGCTTGTGCTCTACACTGCCTTATAAAAGCAAGACATAGTGACAGGTTTTTGAATCATTTGATTTCAGTTTTCACACTGTTTTCTCTGAATTGGAGTATAGTTTTGCTAAATCGTAGCATGAAAAGCCAGATTTCAGTAACTCAATTTTGAGTTATCTTGTTGTAGTTGTGTGACAAAACATATTAGTCCAATATCCAGTTGTAGATGAGTGCTTTTCATTGTCAGTGCAGGATTTTGTAGAAGGGATTAAAATATATGACAAAATGGGGCAGTGAGAAAGTTTTACAGTTTTATGAGTTTACTGTCAGACATGCATACATTATTAAACTCTCTTTGTATCGAAGATCACCTAATAATTTCTCCCTAGTGTAGTTAGTGGCTCTTACAACAATGAAGGTGAATTGGTTAGAAATGACACTACTTAGAAATCAAAAAGCACTTCATAAGAGACTGTGAAAGACAGTAAGCTTCATTCTACCTGATCTCCTGAAATATAATATCTGGCCTAGTTTCATATTCTAAACTTCCAATGACAACAAAGATCATAGGATGGAAAGGTCAGACATATTGTCGGGTTATGTTAGACTTTTATGATGCTTAAAAAGGGAAATGGAGCACCATAATCTCCTGAGAAGAGAGAGAAATCAAGAACTGAAAGGCGAAAGACTAATTTAACGCACAGTAATCATGTTATTATATTATTAAATTCTATCAATGCTATGGCAAGTTTGTTTGCTTTTTGAGAATAGATTGTATATGTATTTTATGTGTAAAGTTATTACATTGTCCATGTTTAGTCAATTTAACTAAATCTTTAATACATTTTTTGTAAATCTTGGATATTGTACATATGCACTGTATATATTCCTGCATGGTTTAGATGGTGGGGATTATTCTTCTGAATAACAACCACAGGATCATCTAAACACAAGTGTCTGATTAAAATGCTTCTATCCCTAATTGATTTAATACCTAGCACGGCCTTAAATGTACCCCTGAGACGAAACACTTGGCTGCTTGGGGGACTTCAGAGGCTTGTTTGGAATAAATCATTAGCTGCTGTTTGCTCCCGTAATGACTATAGGATGAGATCTGCCATTCTGTTTGTAAACTCACTTACAGTATCAACTCCACTAGTGTACCATATATCCTTTTTATATGAACATCTTTAAATCACAGAAATGTAATTAAATTTAGCTGTGCACATGCAGTAAAATCTGTATTTCTGTATTAGTGCTCTAGGAAAATGGTACGATCAAGCAATAAACTGTCAGACTCTGTTCCATGTTTTGTGTGTGTCCTGCTCCCCATGTGCCTTCCCATGCCCTTATTTGGTTAGTTCCCTGTTCCTCCCCTGATTAGTGTTTCATTACTCCCAGGTGTGTCTCGTCATCCCCTCCTCCTGTGTGTATAAATAGTGTTCCCACTCCCAAGTTCTCTGTCCGCTGTTAAACGTCTTCCTGAGTTCGTCTCCCTTGTGTTCCTGAAAATAAAGTCTTGGTAAAGTATTCTCCAGCGTCTCCTCGTTCCTCGTGTGTGTGCATCGTGACAGACCAGCGGACCAAAACCGAAAGTAAGCAGCGCCCCTTCTCCTTGTTTTTTCTTTTTCCCGTTTTTTGAAAGTTTTTGTTTCCTGGTCTTGGTAAAGTATTCTCCAGCATCTCCTCGTTCCTCGTGTGTGTGCATCGTGACATAAACAAGTGATTCAGTAAAAATTTATAGTAAACATTTGTCTACCAGTCCTTGAAATTTACTCTAATTATTGGTTGTGTGTAAAGAAATCATTACTATGCATGGGATATTGGTTAATTTTGATACTAAATCTGGCGTCCATTGAGAATGGAGAAAATTTAAAATTCTTTCAAAGTGTTTTGATGATCTCACATATTGTGATATACATCACATATATTCACTATGCAATATTATGGTTTCATGACCTATATATTAATATAATTGAATTTTGCAAGGTTAATTGTAAATTTCCCTCATTTCTACTTTTTATGTTAGGAGTGTGAGACTCATCCTTGTCTTAATGGAGGCTCCTGTGTGGATCTTCTGGACAAATACGCCTGCATATGTGCAGAAGGTTTCACTGGGAAGAACTGTGAGATTGACCAGAATGTGTGTCTGCAGACGTCTCATAATTTCTCCCTGTGTTTCAATGGAGGGACATGTCTGGATGGACCAGGGGCCAATTTCACATGCAGGTAAAAACAAGACTCTAGATGTAACTTTAGGTGTTTGTGTATGATGTTTAACCATTTTTTTTTTTTTTTTTTTTCCAGTTCTCATTCTAATTTCTTGAGCCTTGTGAACAGCATTTCCTATCCAGGGCTGCATTGAAAAGGCAACTTGATCGTAGAGACTATTGTGGCAATGGTTTATTTGATCTACGTATGCTTACAATGCTTTTGGGAAACACAAATTAAGGCCTTAAAAGTCTTAAATCAGAGGAGAAATACTTAAATTCATTAAAGGGGTCATATGATGCGATTTCAAGTTTTGCTTTCTCTTTGGAATGTTACAAGCTCTTGGTGCATAAAGAAGATCTGTAAAGTTGCCAAGACTAAAGTCTCAAATCCAAAGAGATATTCTTTATAAGAGTTAAGAGCCAACCACCCCTACCTAAAACGG